TGTATGTATGTATGTATGTGTATATATATATATATATATATACATATACATATACATATACATATACATATACATATACATTTTTTTATCACAGTATTGGTATTTATAAGTTTTTATACATAGTGCATGGTATTTTAACTCATTTAAGGACTAAATACTATAGGATAGTGCACAACAGTTTTTGCACATATATTGTATCTACTAGATTTGTAAGCTCTCATGAGCAGGGCCCTCCTACCTTCTGTACCAAAATTGTATGGTCTCCCTCAGTTTTGTAAAGCGCTGCGCAAACTGCTGGCGCTATATAAATCATGTATAATAATATGAGGGGGAGCTTTTAAAGCTATATATTTTTGAGAGTGCGGTGCACTTTGGAAATTGTTTTATGATTATTGGTTTGCGATAATTAGCACTGCTGCTTAGTATTCGGAGATAAGAGCTCAGGGTTATGTAAAGAAATAATATAAAAAGCCATTTAAATTTATGAAGAAACATTTTAAATATAATCTGCAATTCCAGATGTGTTTGATTCTACTACCACTATATATTTAATGATCTAGGTGACTGAAAACCTTCATAGATACGTTGTAGTTCCCATCTTACATTTGACAAGCCTTTTTTTTTTTCTTTAAAGCACTTATAAACTTAAAATTATTCATGAATCATTAATGAACATCCTTAATTTATCTGAATGATATTTACACTATCTACACACAAAGTAAGTCTCTGGGCAACCACAGTTGATTACCCACACACATTACTTAAAATAAAAAACAGCTAATTCAAAGGTCTGCCCAGTGCTTTTCTTGATAGTGTGCAGCAAGTACATAGAAGTTAAAGGTTGTACTTACTGTACATGTATTTCAATAAAGAACTTTTATATTTGTCATTATCAAACAGATCAATTTGTACTTGAAAATGGAGAAGAAGCCGAACAAGAAGGAAGAGCTGACACTTGTCAACAATGTATTAAAATTAGCTACTAAGTTGCTGAAGGTAAGTAATCCGCTTCAGATTGCCTTAATATTTTTTATATTTTAAAAAGGGGTAGTACCTAGCAGATTGATATAGTAACTGGCTGGATTCTGTCCAGAACTGTACATGAGAGAGTTATCTACTGTAGTTTTCCAACTCTTGTCTTTACTATAGTCCTTATCAACTAGATCAGGGCCAAATCACACAAAAGGTGACCTAAGCAGCTAGGCATCTGCCTAGGATCTGGTAGGTGTCCAGGGCTCTGGTATTCTTTCCTCCTTAAACCTCTGAATTATTGTCTCTGACCTTAGACAGCCCTCATGGGTTGTAACATTACAGTCCTTGTGAGCAACCAAGATGTAAGAAGGAGGAGGAGGGAGCTGAGAGGAGTGTAGGCTGTGCACTATCCTCTCTATTTTCTGTAGATCATTGGCAGAAAGATAATTTTGCTGGAAAAGGGTTGATCTGTTCTCAACTTCCACAAATCAGATGCGGAGAAGGTGGAAGTCTGCTGCTAGCAAATTCTGAAGAGGGGGGAGGGGCTTAAATGCGTCTGCTGTTCTCTTCACTCCTTCTCGTTCTTTTCTCCTAGTCCTCACTGATTCACTGTAGAAAGTTTCTAACGGCCATCAAAAGGTACAAAGTCTGTTTTGTCATTTGCTTCTGACATACAGACACATAGGGCAGGTTCATAACACGTATTCTGACATTGTTGCAATATTCTCTCTTGTAAATTGTTGAGTAGTAGAGCCTGAGAAGAACGGTGTCTTTCTACCAAACTAGCAAGCAGTAATGTTCATCTCTTATGTGTTTAGGCAACTTTAAACTTGTATATAATTCATCACAACATGGAAACATTTTTTCCTGGTTTAATTCATTGATATATATTTCATTTTGTTTTTTAATTATGTAATAATGTAATATTTGTTTTGTCTTTTAAGGAGCTGGATAATCCCTTTAGGTTATATGGTCTGACAATGAATCCTCTGCTTTACAACATCACCCAGGTGGTCATCTTGTCTGCAGTGTCTGGTGTCATTAGTGATCTGCTGGGATTTAATCTCAAGGTGGGAATATGCTAAAAAAAGAAGTTTGAAAATTGTCATGTTACATTTAATAGCTTTGTATCAATTTTAATTCAAGCTTCTAAACTTATTTGTGTTTACAAATTGGATCACCTCAAATTAAAACTTATTGACATTGCTACAATGCAGTTGTGGTTTTGAAAGAGAGAGCCTAGCAGTAGCTGCTGCTTTGGTGACAGTCACTCTCTAATTGAAACTTGGGTGGCTCCATCACTTTACCATCTAATAGTTTGCTGCACATCTGTTGCATTTTTGGTTATTTGTAGAAGGGTTTTGGCAACCACCGCCATGCTGTTTGCGCTGGCACCCTCCGCCATTAGCTGTAATTGACAGGTTACCTGGCTGTTCATTAGAAAACCTGGGCCACCCACCTCCTGGACACTAAAATACTGCTAGCAGCTGAGGATGTAGGTGTGCTGTGCCAAAAAAGCTTTTCCACACGCCTACAGCAGTACTCTACTTTACTTTTCTGAAGGTACAGGGTTTGGGGCTGGTCTGAGGTCTGAAAGTGCCTTCACTGGGGCTGAATTGATTTTGTGCTCTCGTAGTTATACTGCTAATAAGTTAAACTTAATTTTTTTGGTTTGAGTTTAACTTGACATTGCTTGTACAATTATGGGTGTAGAAATTTAAAACAAATTAGGACTTCAACTCACTATTGTTCACCGACATCTGACTATGTTTTATAAACCGTTTTCTGATTTACCTAATTTTAAAAAAAAATTACAAATATATATTTTCCCTCCTGAACATACAGCTATGCACTTCTAATCTTTAATGGTAAAACTTTTTCTTCCTCAGGAAAACAATTGTGTTTTTTCTTTTATGAAGCTTGCCTTTAACATACAAATTTAGAATTTTACAGTGTTTATCCATGATTATCCTGAAGGACTGTTTATGCATGTTTTCTTTGCTTCTGCTTATTGTGCAATTTGGTGGATATAAACTCTCCACCGCAAACCATGAGGCCTGAGGCTTGTTTCCTGTGTACTGACACTTCAAACTGACAGTCTGTGCAATTTTGGATGCAAAAATGTATAGACTCGTTTTTATTTGCCTTTTTGTCTGTATTTAAATTATTGCATAGCTTGCCTGTTTTATGTGGCACACAGATGTATCACGGAGAACCTGTAGCACAGACAATATATTTGCGTGCCGGCCACCACAGTATCTATCAGTCTACTTGTGGCCTCGGATGCCCAGAACCTTGCCCCGCTCATTTGGAGGCCTTGGCTTGTATCATGATTTCTACCCCCAACACCATCTCAATATCCAGTAGGCACGTCAGGAGCCAATAGCAAGTTTCCCTATCGCGCAGCAGGCCAGTAGGGGACATATTTTGCAGGAAAAAAAACAACTGAAGCCTCTATTTATGAAGTGTGGACATGTATTAACTAACTTATTGCATTAGCCAAAAATACATCAGATTGTGCAGTAAATTATTAGATTGTAAAGAATGTAGAACCGTTATTTCACATGTTGCATTAAAGCAGAGTAGTCTTAAGATATTGTCACTTTGAATGTCCTTGGAATTTCACTGTATTAGAAAGTGCTTTTTTTTTTTTTTTAAAGGGTTGGGTAACATTTTAACCTCCATACCTATTAACGTGCCATTCAACTGTAAACATTACTGCTTCATAAAATTTGTAAATCAGTCTTTTTGTAGATTGTAAGAACTGTAGAATGATAAATTTGTGTGCCCACATCAGAATTGGTTCTGTCCATAACAGCCAATCGGAATCCTTATTTTGTTTTTAGACCTAGACTGCATAAATTACAATTGGAAGCTGATTTGTTGCTTTGGTCAACAATGTTTTTCTTAGCGCACGCATTTCATGTATCTTCCTTCTCAGAAATGGCAGTGTGTCACATCACTGTCAACTGTCACCATGTCACAACATTTCATTATGTCAAACACACACTTTGTTGCCATTAAGGCAGTGCATGTATGTCCACTTACATACTTGCCTTATCAAGTGTTTGATGACCCCTTATTTATTTTCAGCCTTGTTTTTTTTAATTGTTTGCTTTCTTTTTTTTCATTCCAGTTATGGAAGATCAAATCGTGACACCCTTCCTAACCGTTATCTGGAGCAAGAATATGGACTTTTTCAGAGAATATAAGCTGACTCACAGCAGTTACTGTGCTTGTGTTCAGAAGCTAAAGCCTTTGGCAAGACATGATTTTCAAAACTGAAGTGTTTACGTCTGACTGATTGCAGTCTGTGCAATTCTTTTATTTATTTACCTTGTCAGTGTTTTGTTTTTATTTTGTTTTGTTTTATTCTATGATTTTTAGCTTTCACCCATGTAAGGTGTGTGTGTGTGTGTGTGTGTGTGTGAATGAGCACCCTTCTATAGATCAGGGGACATCACCCAGTACTTCACTCACCCTCCATCTGCCAGGGACAGATTTACCTGATTTAGTTTATTTTTATTGTTTTTATGTGATGGCATGCGTTTGTCAGGTGACCGATCTTGGTAAAGGAGGAACATGTACCCAGGCCTACACTACTGAGGAATGAAGCCTCCAGACTCCAGTATTCTTCCATAATATTTCATATTCTGATCATAAAAGTGCCAGCAGCATGTGAAATATTAAATGTAGAGCATTTATTAGTAACAACGAAACCAGCATTGTCATAATAGGAGAGAAAGAAAGTTATATCTAAAGTAATATCTAAGCGGTACACTTATTTTAAAGTGTGCACGCCCAAAGCATACAATCAAAAATACAATACAATCAAAATGACTATTTCAGTAAGAATGGGTTACTGTCTGAGCTAACCACAGTAACTAGGTCACAGAGCCAAAAATGTATTCGAGATTTAAGAAGTTATCTCTCTGTTATCTCTGTGTGTTACTATGTATAAGTGCCCTCTTAAGGATATACATACATATTAGGGATGCACCAATACTGTTTTTTCGGATTCGAGTAAGAGTATCCATATTTTTTTTTATCAGTATTCGCCGACACAGAGTACCAATATCGGCATCCCGAGGTAGCATGGGCCGTGCTTCCCAGCCAATCGGGAAGCAATCGGGTCCTGACCAGCCGCCCGGCTTCCTGATTGCCTGGGAAGCCAGCTTCACGCTTCCTCTCGACACTGCAGGGCAGCCTGGCTTCTTGACCAATCGGAGATCTGGACAGCGGGTCATGACTATGCTCCCTCGCAGCACTACCGGTCAGGTTCAGTATCGGTGCATCCCTAATACATATATACACTTTTTTTTTCGAACTGTTTGTTTTTCATAGTTCTATTTTGAACATTATAAGCACATGAGTGTAACACATATCATATACTTATCTCTGGATCTGTAGGCTGTTGTGGAGGTTTTGCCATGTGTTTAAATTCTTGTTGTCCTGTGTGGTTATCAGTGATGATTACATCACTTTAGAATGCAGCTACAGAGTTATGGTGTACTACATACATTGTAATAGTCAGTAACATTACTATAATGTAAGCGTTTTTACCAAAGGTCAATATGCGTTGTGCTAATTCCAACTGATGGGACACGCAGCTTTTTTTGGTCTTTATTGCACTAATATAGCAATTAGGAGATTTGCATTTCCATGCTTGTAGTGAAACACACAAATATCTTGTATGTGAGACAATGACAGAGCTTTTATAAAATGTTTATTGTAACTGGGAATTTATGAAGCATATATTAACAAATGTGTATCATTTGATTTCTCCTTTGAATCTCCAGGGATTCCTGGTTATAAATTGCAAGACTTCACTTATAGAAGCTATAATTATACTAAAAGGCTGGGTGGTAGGTAATGTTCCCTGTGTAAGAATAGATCCTATTCTCAAAGCCATTAACTCAGTCTTTTAGCACCTTTAAAATCGTATGCATTTTGATGCTTTACTGGGTTTTGTGTTTAAAGCTAGAATAATTAAAACACAGGAAGTAGTCCTCCTAGAATATATGCACTAACAAGCCTAATAATGGTCTAATTGATGCTGGTATGATTACTACTGGGTATCTGCTAGATTAATACTTGCACTAATTTTGGTCACTGTTACAGACTAGCAATACTTCAGCATCCTTTAGTTGTGTATATATAGCTGGTCACATAAGCCTAAGGCCTGTTGTTAATGTAACATAAGAATTCTAGTACTGATGTGTATAACTAGAGGAAAGGAAAAATGAAGGTGCCCCCAGCAATTAATTAGGCTCCAACTTTCATTGTTGATTGTGTGTTAGAAAATAAAGGCAGCAATCTGATTTGCTGTTCTAGGTAGCACATTCATTTTTCCTAGTTATATAGGCACATGCTACAGTTAAACAGTTTATATCAAAGTCTAATGGTAGGATTGATAGCTGTGCATGGGGCCAGCAACTCGTCACTCAATTTTGAAACAAACTGATTTTAAAGTGACCCAGTAACTGATTTTGAAGTGTCTGGTTCTAAATAAAATACAGCTGAAAGTTCCTGCAACAGAAGTGGATTTGTACCCCGTTCTCTGGCAACCCGTATCTCCTTCCTTTGCTCTGTTCCAGTGCTTCAGCCTCCACAAGATCCTTCAGCATGCAACGCTTCTGGGAGTGTCAAGTGCCTGTGTCCTCCGACATGCACTATGGTTCTATACTTGGACCCCTGGGTCACTAAAGTACACAGCAGTGACATAGAGGTTAGAGGATGTAGACACAGGCTTCCAACATTCCCAGCAGTGTTAAAATGTGATGCGTCTGTTGGAGGCTGCAGTCCTGTGACTGAATGAAGAAAAGAGGTCACTAGATGAGTAGAATGACTTTTCTCCTGCAGAGAACTTTCAGTTGGCTTTTTGCAGAAAATGGTCGCTTTAAAGGGAAACTATGCTTCCATGCACTCAGTCTACGCTTTGTACGCATATAGGTGCTACAGAGTTTAAATACATAGAATGTGCAGTTATTCCCTTTTAAAACAAATTGGTGACAAAGTTTTCTTTGTATTGGTAAAGAAATACTCCCAGACAGGGAGAGCAATAAATGTATATGGCTTTTAATTTGTAGGCTTTTATTAAACCAGTGCTAGAGAAGTAATTCTGAAAAACATTGCTTGTTTGCAGGATTGCTAATGAGCAGCTCTTAATGTTACAGTTCTATATGTATGAGTTTCATTATGTTAAAACAGCTTTGCTTGTTGCTTAGATAGTTTTGTCCGAAGTCATTTCACAATGATTTCTCCTGCTTTACATATCTTGTGGTGTCTTGCTATAGCATTGCACCCCCAAAAGTAATGCAACTAAACATTTTAGCAAATGAACTTCGGTAAACCTAGATTTTTTTTTTTTTTAAACCTATTTAGCTTTTTTAGTGAAATGCAGTGTCTGTGTTGCTTTACATTTGCACCAGTTATAGGTTAATTTACTGTGTTTTTTATTTCAGATGTTCTTAAGAAAAAAAGTGGGTGCCAAAATAACGGTGTTTTGATATCAAATGACCTGTACAGTGTTGTCTTATGTGAATCTATATGTAAAAGTGAATATAAGTAAAACTGTTACATTTGTGTTTGCAGTATTGTCTTTTAAGTGTTGGTGAATTTAAGTTCTTTTATTTCTATATGACCGTAGCTTTGTGCCAGCATTCCGTATGCAATACCAAACTAAACCTTTTAAAAACCTATGTAGTATGGAGCAGTGGGTGTATAGGTGTACAAGCATTAGTAATGATCTGATAGTCCTGTTTTCAAATTGAATCTAAAAATTCATACATGCTTACAAAGCTTCAAGTAAGATTTCTTACGTAGATCTGTAAGAATAGTGTTGCCTGCAAACATGTGACATCTGGTGAAGGAATTAAAATTACAATTTGTTAGTCATTACCTCTTCCTTTATGCTTCTATTTAGACCACTTGTGCTCATTAACAATGTCTTGGAGTTAATTTCTAGATCAACCTATTACAGTATTTATCATCACAGGAATTTCTTTGCACTCGCTTGTGACTCAGTTGCTAGTATATATGTATAGGTGAGCAGAAAAAAATGCAGATCTAGGCAGAACGTTTGAAAGGAACTTTCAATGTCTGTGTATTATAACTTATAACTTAGTCTGAGAAGGCTGATGTGAAATAAGTGATTTGACATGCAATGTTTTTCTTAATAGAAGAGAGTAGAAGAGTGTGTTTGATTCCTGTGAAAGTGGAACTCCAGTCAAAACCTTTGTTAGTCTATTCCTTCTTTAATATTTGTGACCATTTTAGGCAGGGCCGGTACTAGACTATTTTGGATCCAATGCAAAAACAGCTACTTGCACCCCCCAATCCAGCAACGTGCGGGGGCATTCTCCTGTTGTCTAGCTTCCGCATGCCACATGTGGATATAAGCAGACGGGAGCAATAGCAAGACTGCTATTGGCTATTTTAATTTGAAATAGCCAGTAGCAGACTGGCTATTGAAACCCCACCCACTGAGCAGTGGAGCAGACCTGAGAGAGTGTCTCATTTCCGCTCCTCTGCCCAATGGGCAGGTGCAGTAGCCAGCCTGCAGTTTGCTTTTGCAATTTGAAATAGGTGGGGGGTTAGTGGTCGAGGCTACGCCCTAGGCGGCTGCCTTGTTTGCCTGGTGGCAGCACCTGCCCTGATTTTAGGGATATTATTTACCCTCACGTCTTATGTCCACCATTAGCAAGTAGGTAGGAAATCTGCAAAAGAGGACACTAACCTGGTGATCTTATGGTGCAGCTCTGCAATGGGGGGGAAAAGATAGATTTTGTGATTTAAAGTGAAATTCTCCATTTTGTTGAAAGGAAACAAAGTCTGCTTTAGCTCAGTTGCAAGCATTTGTTCTGTAGGAAATGGTGCTTGCCCTTGGTGTAACTTCCTAAAATTGAGCATTAAGTGAGAAGATATGCCTGCTATAATACCAGGATTAAGCCCAGTGTTGTAGAATGAGAAACGCTGCATATTCTTTGCACCTGTAGATGTTGTCCCTGTTTACTGCAGTGGGGTGTTGTGAACACAGAACGCTGTTGCCATGGTTGCAAAAAAAGTAGATTTAAATGTTTTAGTAGACCATAGCTGGCTCCAGATAGGAATAGTAAGGTCATGTTCCATATATAATAAATTACACAGTGGCCTTTGTAGCAAGTTTTTCCCTGAAGTCTAGCAGTAAGTGCCAAGTTGCTTGTGTGACATCAGCCTTCTCTGGGAATAATAATGTTTGTGTCTAACAATCTAGTGCTGTCTACAGCTGAGCAGTCTAGCGGCCGTCATGAATATGTTTGACCCAAACAACCACATTTTATAGATTTCCTTTATGTTCTACTATTCCTCCAATATCAAGGAGGTGAAT